TGCAAAAATCTTCAAAAAACCTAAATTCCCCCCACAAAAAAAGCCTTTTTTGAACCTTCTGCATAATTAGAGTGGAACAGGGGAGGGGACTAAAACCCAAGAAATTGAAGAAATGACAGAGTTTGTGGTTGTATAGCCGTAACCTCGGGTTCAGCGGTGGGAGCGAGTCACGCATCGTACGGTCATCGTGCCGACAGGGTGAGTGACGGGGAGGCAAAACCCCGCTAATGAAAGCGGTTCTTGTCAAGAGAAGGCAGAAAGCGCATTCTGTGCCCAGGGAAAATATTTATTTATTTCCAAGGTCAGGGTCTGAGACCATATCAAAACACAACAAGTGCTGTCATAACCTAGAGACATTTCTGGACAAACCCCAGAGACACCCCCCCCTCCCAAGCGCCAGGATCCCCATCTTTTCATCTGTCAGGTTTTGGCTTCTGTACCTATAAAATTGTCACTCGAGGTTTAGAGATAACCTGAGTTCACAGAGCGATAATCTTGAAAGAGATCCTTCAGATTTGAAAGGTTTTCACATTTGGTCTGTATCAGAGAGATACAGATGAGAAGACTCACGAGAAAAGGCTTTGCAGTCTTTAGCTATTTAAATGCACACAGGATCCCCTACATATTCAGACTGATAAAGTTACATTCATCTGACATCTCCTATGAGAAAAAGAAAATGCGAAGATGCAAAACCGTCGGTCCCAAACTTCACACTGTTTTTTCTGACCTCAGTTTGGTGGACTTGGGGCGAGTGGGATGTGTATGAAGCAGAGAGAACGGGCTTACTGGGTTCACAGAACCAGGCTTTCAGTCACATCTTACATCTGTCCTTGATGAGAACCTCATCTGGGCCACTAAAATCTCCAGCAGCTTGGACATGCCATCCAGACTCCCAAGCATGATCTTATTAAAACAAGCCCATCCAAGAGCTGTTCATGTCCTCTCGCTGCATTCCCATTTTGTCAAGAAATATTCTGTGCTTTTGGCAATGTTTGAAGTGAATTAGTTTGGACAAAATGATCGTTGTAGATGATGTCAACTGAACTGTTCTATTAACTCAGCTTTAGAAGAGGAGTTGGGCGGTTGGACTAGATGACCTCTAGGGGTCCCTTCCAACCCAAAACATTCTATGATTCTATGATTCTATGATCTGTCCTGACGAACGGGTGATCTGAATTAAGCTGCAAGCTGGCTCTTGTGACAGTTTCGTGGGGTGCCAGGAGGAGGAAATAAAAGAATCGTAAACAGGATACTCGGGCACTGTAGGAAGTAATGCGGCCTGGTTTTCCTTTCTGTGCAGTACCTGGAGGACGGGGATCTCTCTACAGTAAAAGGCAAATGGGAGCAAACCCCACCGGCTGCTCTGCTGAACACCACGGCTCCGCGAATAACAGGGTTACGTGGGTAAGCGATGGCTGCTCTAGGTTTGCTCTCACCATCCCTGCCACGAGAGAGAATATTCTCGATATTACCACATTAAACGGGCTGTGTATTCTCTTACGCTCCCACTTCTGGCAACAGCCAGATGCGTTCCTCGCCTCGTGCACTGCCCCCTCTTTTAGACACAGAATTTAAAGTTTTGGCCTGCCTGAAGTACAGAACAGTGAGGTGGTTTTCCTTATATTCAACTTAACTCAGCATTTTGAAACGTGTTGCTAGTTTGGGTTTTTTTTCCCCAGCAAAGCAATAGCAGCGGTGAACACAGTGTCCGCAGAGAGCATCCTACTGCTTTAATCCTTAGTGGAAAGCAAGGAGCGTGAATCTTACAGTCAGAAAACTAAATCCGTAGACTCACGCTGCAGAATTTGGAGCCCATGGCTGAGTTTCAAAGCAACTTGTCAGCTGGTTTAAACACCTCAGTGTTAGATAGGTAAACAACACAGGCCTATATTTTAAAGACCATAACTTAGCTAGACAATTGCTGGCAGGCAATTCCCATAGACTTATGCACCAGAAAAACTGGTGTTTGACCTTGTGGCTGTCTGCTGCAGAGCAGGGAATAAAAAGAACCAAGTGATCGAGCATCTTTTCTCCTGTGTAACGAGTATCTGGGTCAGGCTGCTGGCAACGACCACGTCTGCCGGCAGTAAAGGTGAGCATTTCAAAGCTGCCTTTCAGACCTGCTGCGTCAGGCTGGGGGTTGAGGCACAGCCAAAATCCTGGACTGCGTGCACAGATTGGAAAGCGGGGTTTCCATCGACCTCCCAGGCACATGGCTATGTAAGGTTTTGAAGGACACCCAATCCCTCTCAAACCTCCCCAGTTAGGACCCAGACATGAAACCTGGACCAGGAGAGTCTGGCACACCTGGTTTTTACACTCAGCAGAAGGAAAGGGTCTGCTTACGGAGGTTACGTTTCAGTATAAACAAAAATTGCTCCTGATGGAGATAACACGCAGCCTGTTTCTATGCTGAAAGGGAGCTACGAGCCAAGAATCCAATGCGTTAGGCTGAGGCTTAAGCTAAGAGGCACAGCTATTCCTGTTGGAGCTCACATGCGCTTCTGAATCCAACTAAGTTCTTGCTTAAAGGTATTTCAACTTGTAGGTGAGACTCCGCTGATTTGGATTACTACCTAGTCAAAGAAAGCGCACCTTTGAGATTTTACTACTTCCTTTTTCTAAGTTTAAACCCTTGGTATCTTCTTCAGGTCATTTCACAGCAAAGTTCGGTTAGCCATGAATTTAGCAGGAAAAACACCGAGATGAGTGCAAAAGCACAGAGGGACGCAAGGAACATTTTGCTTCCCTGCCCCGTATGTCTGGCCCCAAAGCCCTGTGCAGTTTGCATAATGAAGCGCCTGCTTACGTGGGTTGTAGAGAAAGCCCCAGCCTGGGCTTGGTCTCCTCTGTCATTGCCACACAATCAGATAAGGGCACATCTACTTCTGGTTTGAACATTTGCTAATGCAGGATATCGTCAACAAACGCGCAACTCAGAAGGCAACTAAAACGAAGGAAGAATTGACTAAATTGGGTGAGGAGCGCGTACCAAAGCCGCTTACAGAATTCACAGGGAATTGCCGTAGTTCAGGGCACCCACAGCAAACACAGCCAGGACAGCAAACCAAAGCACCGCTTCGCCACCCCAGTCCTGGCACTGCCCCGGCCTGCAGCGAGCGTGAACCCTCCCTGCCGGGACAGACCTAATAGTCCCAAGGCATCTTTTTGGATGTCAAAGGTTCAAGTCATTTGAAAGCCATCTTTCTGAGAAGTGAGATCTGGGGGTCCTCCCTTCTATTCCATTTTACGTCCAAGTACTCGATAAGGTGAGGTGCTGCCTGCTCTCTGGGTCACAGCTCTGGTTTTTTAAAGCCCTGCAGCTGTGCAGGCACTCCCAGGCGAGGGCAGAATTTGCACCCTCCGTCTGGCAAAGCCCTGACTCTCACATCTTGCCCGACGCTTGACATTTTACCAGCTGACTCACTGACAGCCTGCGTGCAAGAACAATTGTCAGCGAGAGCTTTTCCAGCAAGAAAACATATGGAAAACATTGATTTTGATCAGTTTGCATCCCCAATTGTCTCAGTTCCATGCTTTCTTCCCCATTCCATTTGTTTATATGTTGCCGTTTCAACCTCTAGCACAAGCTTGCTCAGTTATACGTTTGCTGCTGAAACTCTGTTGGCAGAGGATTGCTTTCTGGAAAGGATCCTACTCTTCTCAAGGGTTTAATCTCTCTACTCCATAGCTGTAGCTACTAAGATGTTTCTTAGCTTACGAGCTGTGTTTCTTATTTGCTTTGCTGTATTTTACAAGGCAAAAGTCTTTCCCTTAGTTATCCAACTCTGCTCCGCATTGCCAAGACGTACCGGCTGCCGTGCCCACGTTCCAACGCACAAACCCCTCTTGCTCCAGTGAGGGAGACTTTCCAACCACTTGCCCTCACCGGCCTTAAAAACAAGACAGAATAGCAATAAGAAAACATTAAGGCAGTTCAGCAAGCGCCGATTTCCAACAAGACAGCAGGCTTACTGCAACTCTATACTTCCCTAAAGCTTGCCGAATCGGGACAGAATCTTAACAAAATCGTAGTTTATGAGATTTCCCAAATTTCAGGTTCTGAACCTTGACAAAGAGTAGAAAAGAAGCGAAGCTGTCGGTACAACTTAGAGGAGTCCTTTTGGCAAAGCATTTCACATTTGCAAAAAGAGGTCCTTCTGAAAGGAATACCATTTTTGCAGAAATTTTTAAGGAAAAAAAAAAAAAAGCAATGTTGTCCAAAAGTGGCAAGCATAACTTTGGGAAGTATTTTTGAAAAGCATTTCAGTTTTTCACTTTGAAAAACACATGTAAGTATGCTCTTATATTTTCAAATAGAAAAAAGGCAAAGCAGTGCTTTATCAATGTAAGGTTTGGGGTTTTTTTAATACTTTTGCATCGAAACAGGTTGAAAAACCATAGAACTTTCCTTCCTGCACAGTTGAAAGCAAACGTTAAAACTTTCAACTCCTTTCTCCTCTTGTTACAGGTTTAGGTGAACATTTCAGACTGATTCTATACCTGGGCAATATCGCGGGCTATGACTTCTTTCCAAACACCCTGGGCCAATTCCATCTCAAATTTTAAAGAAAAACCTTTCCAAGCGGAAAGTTGGAGTTAGCAATCGCTCTCCTTCCAATAGGAAGACAAGGGAGCAATGGGGGAAGGAAAGGCTGAGTACAGTAACTGCTGTGTTCAACTGAAAAATCCCAATAATAGTGGAATTTATAAAGGCTACCTTGAAAAGGAATTACTGGTGTCGTTTGCACGTGCATTCGTTTGGAAAGGAAAGAGTTCTCTTGCACAGCCACTTTAGGTGATAGCAGGTTGCAAAGACTGATGGCATCTATTTCTCTCTCCTTTAGGATGAAAGGATTCGTGACGGAGATGTGGTAGCAAGGCATCAAGCAACCTTCCTGGGATGTGTTTCTTCAGGAAGAAAAGCGCTTACTGCCTCATTTTATGGATGTCACTGAAGTAGACTTTGAAGTTCCTTGGAAGCACATCACAAACTTGGCATGGGAAACCACAGCAACAATCATACCTGTTTGATAGATGATTCCTTTAAGTACAACTTGTATGGAGCCGTGTACAGCGTGGTCTTCATCCTTGGTTTGATTACTAACTGTGCCTCCCTCTTCGTTTTCTGCTTTCGGATGAAAATGCGAAGCGAAACAGCCATTTTCATGACAAACCTGGCTGTTTCAGATTTGCTTTTTGTGTTCACTTTGCCTTTTAAGATTTTTTATAATTTCAACAGGCATTGGCCTTTTGGAGATAGCCTGTGCAAGATTTCTGGTACAGCATTTCTCACTAACATCTACGGGAGCATGCTCTTCCTCACCTGCATTAGCGTTGACCGTTTCCTTGCCATCGTCTATCCATTCCGATCTCGCACCATTAGGACCAGGAGAAATTCTGCCATAGTCTGTGCTGGTGTTTGGATACTGGTCCTCAGCGGTGGAATTTCAGCTTCACTGTTCTCCACAACCAACATTTCCAACACCAGCACAACCTGTTTCGAAGGTTTTTCCAAACGTATCTGGAAAACCTATCTGTCTAAGATCACTATATTTATTGAAGTGGTAGGATTCATAATCCCTTTGCTACTCAACCTTACATGCTCTTCTTTAGTTCTCAGGACTCTCCGGAAACCCGCCACCTTGTCTCAGATCGGGACAAACAAAGAGAAAGTGTTGAAAATGATCATTGTGCATGTGGCCATTTTTGTCGTGTGCTTTGTGCCTTACAATTCCATACTCTTCTTGTATGCTCTTGTGCGGTCCCAAGCAATAGCAAATTGCTCCTTGGAGAGGTTTGCGAGGACAATGTACCCAATCACATTGTGCATTGCAACGATGAACTGCTGCTTTGACCCCTTCATCTATTACTTTACATCAGAATCCTTCCAGAAGTCTTTCAACATAAAAACCCAGATAAAAATGGATTCTCTTTTCAAGACTGAGACACCTCTAACAAAGACTGCGCTACCAGCACCGCAGGATGAAATAAGTGACCAGGCTATTACGAATGGAGGAGACCCAACATCCGAATCGCACTTCTAAGTGAGATGTTTACACCTGGCGTTATCCTCCAATAACTTTTGATTAACACCACGTGGGAAACAGTTGTTTCAGAATATGTGGGTTCACACATGGTGTTAATGAAGAGAAGTGGCTGGGGGATAACTACACGGGTAGACAAATCCTTATACTGGCATGGTCCCATCAGATGCAACAGGTGAACATGAAATATAAAAATCCCAATGGATCTCCCTTTGGAGGTTATGGATGGGTGACAACGTATACACCAAGTGAGGAGGGAGCAGAACAGCTTCTTTAATCAGAAGATGCCAACATTTGGCTTTTTTTCCCCCAACAGTCGACATGGGACCAGTTGGGAAATAGAAAATTTAATTTTCTCTAGAGATACCTGCCAATATTTCATGCCTTCTGGAGATGCATCATCATGTTAACTCAATAACTTCACACAATATGTATGTTTGCTTAAAAAGGCATAATAAAAGCTTTTGGCTTTTCCTCATTTCCCTGCAGGAGTACGCATCCCGGTTTTGCTAGACACAGGAATGCTGAATTTATTGTACGGAGAGGCTCGAAGTGTAAATAACTGTTTTGAAAATAGGCAAAACAGTTGCTTGGCGATAGAAGAGAAAAATTAATAAGAGAAAAGGATAATGCAGTTTCATTTTCGTCAGATTAAGCTGTCTTAATTTATTTTAAATGCCACCTCTAGGGAGAAGTAAAGAGCTTGTTACTGCTCTGCTGCACCTGGGCTTTTGCGTCCTGGGAGATTCTATGTGACTGTTTCTGGTAAAGGCTGGACTATAAAGTCAGGCTGAAAGAAAGGGCCTGAAACCCCGGAGTTCTTGCAAGGGCAAAGCTCTTCTATGAAAACTGTGTGCAGCTGAAGGACCACGAGGCACTGACCTTCCTAAAGGGCTTGTTTGGGTGTGGGTAACTGGCATCAGAGCATCTGATCAAGAGATCTTTGTAAGCGATTGCTTGCTGGTCTTTGCTATACAGTCAACTAATTAAGCTAGAGGGTAACTCTGAAAGACGAGTAAATAAAAGCGAGCAGCACTCTTTTCTTAGCCAGTTACAGCAATATTTTCTTGTTTTGCAATTAATTTATTACATATCCTGCATTTCCTGTTACAGATACAGATTATATAAATATATGGAAAGTCAACTATCTGTATGTCGTTGTATTTTACTGGATGGTCCATTTCTCCAGCTGTTGCCTCACATTTGAAGCTATGCTGACCTTACCAGCCTGATTCATTCTTAAGCGTGAGACACATAAATGAGAAAAACAATTTAACTTGAAAAAGTGTGAAGTTACAACTTGTTAGATCAGTAATCTACATTTTCCATCGTACAGCATAAAGCTCCTTCTAGGGCTACATTGCAAAAAAAAAAAAAATAAAAAATCAGGCAATATATTAATTGAACAGATGTTTTCCACTCAACTATTTATCGTAAGTCTCTCAGATCAGGCCTCGTGAGATACAGAGAGCTACTCATCAAATGTGATTGCTACTTAAAGCGATCAGAGAGGGTTTTTTTTTAATGTGAAAAGAATTTAGCTGCAAAAAGATGTTCTGCTTTGAAGGGAATATTTATTTAGCACTACATTCACTTTGAACAAAAAAGTTAATTGCTTACCAAGGCTACACCAGACACCAGAGATTATCCTACTTTAGCCCTCAAATGACTGTTGCTTATCTAGCGCCCCTGGTTTTTGGGTCTTACCGCAGAAGAGCGTATGATCAACTCATTATACACAGGGAGTGTGAGCGCAGCCAAACTACTGTATCTCAGCTTTAAGTTACAGCTATACAGGCTTGCACACAAGCCTGGCTTGGGAGATTTTTGCTGTATGTTAAACCCTTGGACAACACTGCTTTGGAGCAGAAATAAAATGTGAAAAGAAGGACAAATCATTCAGACGAGTTGGTGGAATGAGATGGCTGTGGCCAGACAAGGGCACGATTACAGTGACTTTGTCAGCAGCTGCAAAAAGTTTACCCCAAAGAAAAGCAATGTGTTTTAAGCAGCATCAGGATTTGCCATTTAATCATACGCAAAGCAAAAGCCGGTGCCTTGTCCCATTCCTTCCTGTGCAGGCCTGAACCGAACCGTTTAGAGGGCTTTTTAAAATTCTTATTTCCTTTGGCCGATGAGCCCGTTTCAACACTTGCCATAAAATGTATACATTTCAGAGAAGCTGTTTCCATAACTTCAGATCAAAATGCAAAGCGAGCCAAGAGGGATTTTACGGCTTCGGTACAGGCAGGGTTTTCCATACGCAGCAAACCTTGACACCACAGCGCTGTCAGAGGAAGAAGAGGGGGTTGTGAAAGCATCAGCCACCCTGACACGTCCTAGGCTGTGTGGGAGAGGTGGGGCACCCCAGTTCCACCGTCCTACCACGAACTGGTTGTTAAAAATTGTAATTAATGAGAGAAGCTCTCTGGTTTTAAGGATGGGAGATAGAAGGAAAGAGAGTGGGAAAGATTCACTAAAAAGCTGAGGGTGCGTTTCAAACCCTCTTCCTATTTGCAAGAAAAATATATGGTACATGAGTAAGTGCTCTTCTCCAAGGCAATGACCCCTATTATTTCAGTTTTACAAAGAGAGATGAGAAACTTGTTCACATGCCAGCTTGCTCTCAGTGGCCAACCTATAACTGCCAGCTTGTAAATCTTATTTTAAAGCTGCTTCTTTCCTCACTTGCAAGCAAGAAGCAGAAAGATGAGATTCCCTGGTTACGTGGGGTCTGGGAGCTTTGGGGGACGGGGCTGTTCCCACGTGTGGTGGCTGCTCCAGGGTGAGTGAGAGCAGAATTTGGCCCAGCACCTCGGAGCTGACAGTAAAGGAAACTCTCGTTTGCAAGAATCCTGGAGGACCTGCTGCTCCATGTTCCGCAGACCTTCCTCTAGTTAAGTCCAAGGGGAGGGGGGGGGGGGGGG